GAACTACATTTTTTTGTGTGTGGAATACATAACTAAACCGATATGCTTTTTGTTAACGGATTCATCCATTCAGTTGAACTAGTCCAAAGCAAATTTACCTGGTGTACATAGCCACCCACAGCCCAGTAATCCCTACTACACCAAGCAGTGCGGAAGTCAAGGACATCTGAGCTCGCTCATCAAGGCGTCTCCATTCATTTAGCCCACTCTCTATGACATTTTTCATTTGTTCCATTGTAGCCAACACCACGGCTCTGCTGTATGTGCAAAGACTATTTATATTCGCACAATCTGTAAGCATAAACTCGCTCTCTGATGGCTCTCTCTTTCTCTCTAGTAAAGAGAGAGAGAGAAGTAAATAGAAAATTGAATGAATGTGAGAGTGCGACGGACCAAAAAGGATGCTATGGTTGCCGGCGGGGTCGAAGCGATAGACTTTTTCACCACTCAGAATTTGTATAATTTTAAAATTCTTGATGAGTCAATTAACTGATACCTAAAAGTTGATTGGTAGAAAAGTGTAGACTTTTTAACCACTCAGAATTCTTAGAATGTAAAAGTTCTAGAGCAAATTTCCGATACCTAAAAAGTGATTGATCCACAACACGGCAACCTTTTATCGATGATCTCAATTTGTCTGAAAATAAACGACGCGATGTCGTAAAGTATATTTACATAGTCCACAGTGATCGTTGAGATAGGGATCGGTATATGGGTGTAATTACTGTAATGATACACCGGCGGCACTACAGCTGAAAGCCTGATACTCTCTCTCTCTCTCTCTATATATTTTATAAAAATGGAATCTGAATTATAAGCGGTGTGATGTATCCAACGAGCAGTATATTTATAATCAATAGTTGAAAGTATTTTAAAACATAGCAGCCACCACAGCCCGGCGTATTACATGTTATTACAGGTACGATAAATCATGTGACTCTGTTGCATGTATCTCTTGTCTACTTCATTACTGCTCAAACATGGGAGTATTCTGAATATGAATGTATGGATATTTCGCTTATAGTCCAAGTCCCAGACAGATGTCACACTCAGGCTCAGGTACGAAAACGAAGTTAAATACGTATAAATACGCACATGTACGAACTTGCTATGGAATACTATATTAAATTATTCATTGTCACTATCTTTCACAGCTTCGATTATAATGTTAAGATCAGTGTCAGAAGATCCCCAGGGTAAAAAGGGGGATTTAGCTAAAGAACTCTACACAGCAGCGGAGCGCGGCGATGAGTTGTTGGTAGCCACTCTGCTGAACGATGGCGCGGCTACTGACTACCGTGTCGAACAGGTTAGTTTTCTACTTACGTATGAATGAGATAGTGCCTCAATGTATTCATGAGAAGATTAAATTTGTTTAGATATGTATAGAGTACAAATGTATATTATGTGTGTATGATTGTATGTCTGCGCTTGTATGTGTATCATGTCGGTACAATTAGGTGAATGTATATATATATACACACACACAAACACCGCACAAATACATACAGATACACACACAAAAGTGAGTACACGAAATCTAAACAAACACACACACACACGAATAAACACATACACACACACACACACACACACACACACACATATATATATATATATATATATATATATATATATATATATATATATATAATAAATATATATATATACACACACACACACACAACACACCACCACCACTACA